TGACTAGCATGGCAATGTTCCTTATGTAATCTAATTCTTTGCTTTATTATTCAGCCCTAGAAGATGGCCCCTGAAGAACTGTGACATATGTGGCAAATAATGCTCCAAGCCTGTAGGTGCCTTGCAAATTTTCCTCTGTAGTCCGTTATAGTAGGGTATCCTAGGCCAGCGCGAGGCACTGACAAGTAAGAATGTACAATATTAGAACTCAGTGCTAATGTAATTTGTAATGCTTTACTCCCTCAAGTTGTCGTGTTGTATTTTGGAATGTACTATCAACACTCCTGCACTGTACAGGAATGAAGTGTTTTGTGCAAAATCAGGTTCAAATGCTGGTGCTTAATTTTCCCTCAAGTTGTCGTCTTGTAGTTTGGAATGTACTATCAACACTCCTGCACTGTACAGGAATGAAGTGTTTTGTGCAAAATCAGGTTCAAATGCTGGTGCTTAATTTTCCCTCAAGTTGTCGTCTTGTAGTTTGGAATGTACTATCAACACTCTTGCAATGTACAGGAACGGAGTTACGCATTTTGTGCAAAATTGGGTTCATGCTGGTGCTTATTTTTCCGCTAAAAGGGAATACCTTTATTTGGGGTTCTTTTCTTTTTATTTTGTACCTGTAAATGGATATATGATGCGCAGGAGGTGGGGGAGTAAAACAACCTTTATGTTGACATCCCTGTTCCGTGTATAGTTAATACAATGGTTTTTGTGGGGGTGGCTCTTCTGGCCAGGTTTGCTAACTCTTCCTCCCTATCTGAACCCTCTTTTGCCACTTGACACTTTCTTTTCCACCCGTCCTTCCTAAGAATTTCTGCATATGTAGTATGCCAGTCTGGAAGGATGAAGAATGCATTTGTTTTCGACATGTAAAATTACACGCCATATTTGAGTGGATTGGTTGAGGTACATGGTACTTGGCAGCCGAAGAACACGGGTGTGTTTGTGTGATGTGACTCATTTTTTTATGTTTTTCATGATTCTTGTCATATGGAACATTTTCCTCTAGAGATTGGTCCTGATGGGGAGGCCATAGTTTTGTTAGATAAGGGGCTACGTTAGCCAAGTCAATTGGACAGATATAAATTTGACATGTTAAACCTGGACTATTGGAGAAGTTTTGTGCTCTCTCTAGCTATTTTAATTTTTCAAGTCCTTTTATTTCTTATCATCCACTGCTGGAGTGCCATGCTAGTAAACAGGTTGCGAAATGCAGCGTTGGGTCTTGCAACGGACTTTGTTCTCTTCCCTTCTTATTTTTTAAATGCATAGAAGGTATATTAGGAGATTTTTTTAGCACATTACTGAAGCACCAGAGTGCTCTGTTGTAGCTCTACCCCGAAACTAGTTACTACCATATGCAAAAGCAAATTTTGATATGCTTCAGAATTTTAATAGATATCGTCAGTTGAACGGAGCAATCTTTATTTGGATTGGATAGAAGTTACAAAGTCTTTATTATGCTTCTTTATATATCGTTACAATCCAATATACACACAATTACCTGCTAGCTCTATTTGATGTTTCAGAATTGGAAGCTGAATCGTTGCAGGCGAAAATGTAGAATATTGCAACCTATAATAGGTCACTATTGGCGGAAGCTATGTCCCGAGGTCTCGGCGACTTTTTTTGATTGAAATAAGATTATGAGTCTTTATTCTTCCAAACATTTTATTTTAGGAATGCCCCAAAAAAAGTGATCTTTAATGCGAAATGTTTTTCCACTAAGTTAGGCGAAATGTAAAAGATATAGCAATTGCGCAAAAGCCGTGGTTCCAAGAATTTAGAGACGAATTATAGAATTTTTTTAAAGAATAAAAAGAAAAAGAACTAAGGGAAAGATAGAAGCTAAATTATAGCCTGTTTGGTCGTACTTTTTTAGCCAAAAGTAATTAGAAGGAAACAAAGAATATTTTTGAGCGGAAACATAAGCTGTTTTTGAGAAGCCGAGAAAAGTGGTTTCTATTCGGAAGCACTTTTTAAACAATTACTTTAACAAAAAAATATTTAGAAATACTTTTTAAAAACTTGATTAAATATTATTTGTTATTAAAATTTATTAGCTAAATACAAATTGTTTCTCATGAAAAATATATTTTTAAGAAAAATATTTTTCAAAATAAATTAAATTTAGAAGCACGGCCAAAACCTGCTATTAAAACGGGTGCACTTTTGAACAAAAAAAAAAAAAAAAAAAAAAAAAAAAAAAAAAAAAAAAAAACGGGTGCACTTTAATATATACTAATTAATTAGAAAAAACCCAAGCAGATTTGCATAGTTGTGGATAATCTCTCCTTCTATCTGTTTCCCTCGGTTTCTCTTGTGCTTTCTGCAGCAGCAAAATGTCTACTTCCCTAACCTCTCCTGCTCCTTGCACCTTTTTCTCACTCACCAACTCCTGCAGGTATCTCAAACCCCATTTCGTACTTCAATTTCTTTGTATTTGCTTATCTTTGTCAATTCAATGAGTATTTTTTTTTCCGGGTTGCATTTTTCAGGACGAGTCTTGTATTTTTAAATACCCATAATATTGACCGACTACAGAAAGGCATATTGTCTGTCACCTTTTATCACCGTCCGTCTCAAAGTTGTAATTTTAAGCTTTGCTTTCCTACTGGTGGGCTGTTTTCCCCTTTTAGTAAAAGGGGTTGTGTTGTGTCAGCTGCCTCACCCAAATTTTACAAAGGATATCAACTTAATTCAAGTCTTGGTTCTCAGAGGTATGGACTTAGCTTTCTTCTGATCAAATGCAGATTTGTTCACATTATTGTGTCAAATCTTTGACAATTTCGTTACTTTTCTTGTGTAAAGAAGTGGTTTTTATTTGTTACTTACACTTACTGTAGGAAAAAAAAAATCTAAAACTAACGGTTACATTACCCCTCAATGTAGATAGGACAACATTGTTAATTGTTATTAGAATTTCACTTAGAACTTTAATGGCTCCAGTTTGAGTTGCAAAGAACTTCATCTAGGTTTTTGAAATCACGAGGAGGATTTTGAGGAGTTAAGGGTTATAATAGTCAAGGAATTTCGAGGGTCAATAGAGCTAATTGTCCTTATTGCACGCCATTGACGCAAAAGCTGTTAGGCGAGCTTGGGACGCCGCACCAAGCTCATGCCTAGGTAATTGAGGCACACATCTCATGATGGAACTCAGGCAAGCACCTCACTACTGACTCATAATGTTTTAAGGTGAGACAAATTCCAAAAACGCCTTTTCATGCACTGGTTGTGCTGGGTCTAGTACTTTAAGTTAATGTTACAATCCAGTTGCTTATCTGGTTGACAATATTATCAGTAGAGCATACAACTATTTGCCTTGGCAGACCTACAAGCCACCTACCACCCCTCCACCCATACAATCATTTCCATATTCTTGTCTTAATTATACTCCCTCCGTTTCAATTTATGTGAACCCATTTGACTGGGCACGGCGTTTAAGAAAAGAGAGAAGACTTTTGAACTTGTGGTGTAAAATAAAGCACATATATTTTGTGTGGCTATAAATTATTGCATAAAAGTAAATTGTTTCCAAATAGGGAAAGAGGTCATTCTTTTTGGCACGGACTAAAAAGGAAATAGGTTCATATAAATTGAAACGGAGGGAGTAGATTTTAAGAGGATAATGCAAATTATTCTATTTGAATCATGGAAAACATCAAGTATGAGAAAGTACAAAATACCAAGTTTGGGAGGAAGAACCAGAGTTCTGAAAGCTGAAGCGTTTTATAAGCTGTTATATTTATTAACTAATGAAGCATCTGTCTTTAGAAAAAAGAACTAACGAGCATCTGTTTGTACAGTGCAACTTTAGCACCTATTTGACATCTCCTTGGCTCCACCATTGCTTCTGCAAAAATTCACTTGTGAAGAGGTGTAATGATTTCCGTCAAATGGGCGATAATCTACCAGCACTATCTATAAGTTTGATGCTACTGGCTAAACCCTTTAGTAGGTGAATAGATTAGAAATCCTGATGAATTCTAAACTTTCCAACAGTTTCAAAGTATAGAAATTTAGAGACTTGAGTTCTTTTTTATATCCATTGAGAACTACTGTGACAGCATGTGTTTTCATCAGTTACACGGATTTAAAGGACAACGTGCCTAGCAGTCTGAATATTCTCGAGGAGCAGCTGAGGGATTTATTTAATGAAGTCCATGCCATGATAAGAATAGGGAAGGAAAATGAGGCCAGAGATCTGCTTCTAGCGAATTATGAAGCGGTCAAAGAACAGATAGATGCAGGTAACAAGGGTATAGAAGAAGCTGCTATTCTTGATGTAACAGCCTTGGGATACATGGCCCTTGGGGACACAAGTTCTGTCAAACCCCTGTTGGATGTGGTAATTCTTTCTCTTTCCATATATGCTAATTCCTGATTCTTGTTTTTCTATCATCATCATGAAAGGATCAAGTGACCTTTCAAGGGGCAGATGTACGGTGTAAATATTCGTTGGAGAACCAGAGCATGGAGATATGATCTCAAACATCTTCCTTGGAAGTTTCAATTACAAGTATCTCTGAGAAAGACAAATCTTTTATTGACATAAAGAACTTTCGCTTTTCATGCAATACTATAACGTCCTTATTGTTTTAGAATTCATACTTGTCCTCATTTTGGCCACCCTTTTCTGTATGTGGGTGGTTGGGATGATGTACTGGCAGTTGGGCGAGATTGTTGATGACTTGAAAGATGAGGAGCCTCTTCTGGACTCGATACTCACACATATGGGTAATATGCATGAAAAGTTGGAAACTTTTGAGATGTCCATTTGTCTCTATGGAAGAGCTGTCAAAGTTATTGAGAGACTCTATGGTAAGTCGGTTTTCTTTTCCACTTTTCTTGTGTTGCTTATTTTACGTATGGATATATTTGTGTTAGATGGTTGTGCTGCTCATGCTTCTAAAATATGAATTCTATTCATCTACTATGGGGTTGGATTTTGTTTGCCATACAACTGTATAGAAATAAAAGGTCCAGGTTGATAAAAGTTTTAAGTTTGTAGCTTTAGTTACTGTTATCAAGCTAGTGCTTCTTCTAGATGGCTGATATATGGCTGAAAACAGTTCGCGTCGCTTTTATTTTACATTACAGGAAATACCAGTTCTTTTATCGTCACTCCATTGTTAGGGATGGCAAAAGTCCTGGGTTCTAATCGAAAGACCACAAAAGCAATAGAGGCATACCATCGTGTGGTTAAAATACTCGAATCTAGCAGGGGTGAAGAAAGTGAAGAATTGGTAGTTCCTTTATTTGCGATGGGCAATCTTCTTCTGAAGGAAGGGAGAGTGGCTGATGCAGAAAATGCCTTTAATAGGTGATCACTGATCCTACATGTATCTTGGTTCTTGACCATTGTGTTTCTATAATCACCATACTAACTTGTTCTCCCTTTTATTTTCATATGATATAGAATTTTGACCACATACATGAAGTTATATGGAGAAAATGATGGCAGAGTTGGACTGTCTATGAGTTATCTTGCACGTGCAAAATGTGCAAAAGGTGAATTTAATGATTTCCTACTTCTCGTGATTAATGTCTCTTTTAGTTTGCTGTTCCTGGTGTGTCACATAATGTTTTCCTTATCTATGGTTGTCATTACTTAAGTAAATGAAGAAATCAACGAAAAGGCCGAACAATGAAGTAACTTGCTCAATAGCAAGTATGAGATAGGGCCAATGCTTGAACAGCTAACTAATTTGAATACCTATTGGTGACTTGCTCAATAGCAAGTATGAGATAGGGCCAATACTTGAACAGCTAACTAAATTTGAATACCTATTGGTGACTTGCTCAATAGCAAGTATGAGATAGGGCCAATACTTGAACAGCTAACTAAATTTGAATACCTATTGGTGGCTTGGCATTCTTGTGTTCTGGAGATTCCAGTTTCTTGTAACTTTCAGCTTCCTGCAAGTACAACAACAAACTCAGTTTAATCACATACATGAGGTCTGGGGAGGGTAGTGTGTACGTAGCCTTACCCCTATGATCCTATCCTATAAAGGCAGAGAGGCTGTTTCCGATTCAGCTTCCTGCAAGTGCTAGAGCATAATGCACTGGTTTCATTCCAAATTAGGAGAATTACAAATTATTATGCTTTCTAGGCTCTCTGGTCATTATATTATTCCTATTTTGACATTTATTCCCAAAAAGAGCCGTGTTCATACATCTGGTGTTTTACAGGAGACGTGAATGAAGCCATTGATCTGTATAAAGAGGCTCTTCGTAGGCTGAAAGATTCTGATTATATAGCCATAGATGATCAAATAATGGAGAAGATGAGAGTAGACTTGGCTGAATTGCTTCATGTGGTTGGAAGGTGAGGATCATATTTTAATTGAACATAGGGTTACTTACGTAAACAAGCTTAATGAAAACTTTTTTCTCACATAAACTTCCTTGAATTTTGCTCCAAAGGCACACAATTTTCCTGTGGTTTCCAAAATTATGGAATCACCCCAATTTTTAAATTGTTTGATAAAAGCTTTTTATCCCGCCAATTTCCTCTTCAGCAAGTATCAAATTTTGGCTTCTTTTTTATTCTAACTTACCATCTATTTTTTAATAAATTCATTTTCTTATTTGCATTTAGTAAAGTTGTTTTCCTATATACAACTCAGTATTTCCGTGAAGTGGCCTTTGGAATCGGGATAGACAATATGCGCTTTTGACAGAAATTAAGTACGGTTTATTACGGAGGTTGAGATTTTTCTTGCCACTAATTTTATTTTATTTTTGATGAGTAACGTATTGATNTTTGCACCAAAATCTAAGCAAAAATAGACACTTATGTTTAAGATTAATAACACTGTCCCTTTTGTCTTCAAAAACTCACTCTCCACAGTGAGGATTTAAGTATATCCTTTTGGAGAACTGCTTTAACACTCATTAATCTTTCAGAGGTGAAGAAGGCCGCCTGCTACTGGAGGAATGCTTGTTGATAACTGAGAGGTTCAAGGGAGAAGGGCATCCCGGTTCAGTCTCCCATTTAGTGAATCTGGCCACTTCTTATTCACAGTCCAAAAGATTTGCAGAAGCTGAGCGCATGCTAAGGATGAGCTTGCAGATTATGTTGAAGAATGTTTCACCTGATGATCAATCCGTTACTTTCCCAATGCTGCATCTTGCAGTTATTCTCTACAATCTAAACCGTAACGAGGAAGCCGAAAAATATGCATTAGAGGTTCTGCGAATCCGTGAGAAGGCATTTGGGAAAGATTCTCTACCAGTTGGTGAGCTTATCCCTTTTCCTAATATTTAACGTTAACCACTATGTTTCTATCTGCTATTTCCTGATGTTTTGCAAAAAATTTCATTCATGTTATATCTGCTTGCCCTCTTTATCCATGTATATGAAAGTAGTAGCTCGGTACGTGTTTAAGCTTTCTCGCTTCTTCTCTTTCTTTTCTCCCATTTTGGTTAAAGAGTTTCTATATGCAGGGGAGGCTCTTGACTGTTTGGTCTCCATTCAGACCCAGCTGGGAAAGGATGATGGTGAATTGCTAGAGTTGCTCAAGAGAGTACTGAAAATTCAAGAGAAAGCTTTTGGTGCCGACAGCGAGGAAGTCATGGAAACACTTAAAAAGATTGTATATTACTTGGAGAAGATGGGGAGGAGACTAGACAAACTCCCTCTGCAAAGAAGATTATCAAAGCTCAGAAGTAAATATAAGCAAAAGGTTCAATATTAAGGATCGTGCAAAGCCACATGTCGGATGTGTACCTGCTTTCATGCCATTAATGGTGTCAAATCGCTAGCTGTTCTGCAGCAAGAAACTTTTCTTTCTATTGGAAGTTCGAGTGTATCAGTAGGAAAAGAGATTACTGGAGAATAGCACAAGATCGGTTTTTCTTGTTGCCATGGTGAACAAGGTAGGCAGTCAAAAATAACAAAGACAAAATGACAGGCAGATGAAAGAAATTCTCCTTAGCTATTTCTGTCCAAGAGTGCAAGTGCAGTTTCAGAGAACATGACGAAGCAGTTTGATATGAAAGTTTAGGGGACAGTGTTGTCGACAAATGAATACTACCAAAAGCAATGTGCAATGGGATTGAACACTGGAATATGATAGCATGCTTACCTGGAAGGTTAGTCCTTGTTCATATGCAAGTGGTATCAGGTTTCAGCCTGGTGCTAATTCACTTGGTTTAGATGATAAACATTACTGCATTTTCATGTAGCCTGGTCGTCTGTTGATGAAAAATGTTACTGCCGACTCCCTAAGTCCCTTTACACGAGACATCCCCATTGAGTAACTTACTGGAAGTACAATTGGTGGTATGTGGAAAAGATAGACACAGTCCAGCTGCAGGTCTGTAACATATCTGGGTAATCTGAAGGTTAAAGAAGCACAGCTCTTTTCAACGTGGAACGGGAGTACATGAAATGGTGCTTGCATAGAGAAGCTTCATAGACATACTCCAGCTGCAAGTCTGCAGCATAACTGGCTTATCTGAAGGTTGAAGAAGCATATACGTATATAGTATACGATCTTTCTCTTCAATGTGAATGTTGTAAGAGTAGCCAAATGACATAATTTTACCTACATTTTAGGCAATGATTTCAGGTGACAAAGACAGCAATATTACGCTACTCAGTATCCAGATTCTTGAAATAATTACAATGCCCGTTTTTTGAGTTATTCTTCTTTTGGAATGGTATTATTCATGTGAAAAGATTAATAATTGTTACATAAATATAGCGAATCATATTAAATTACCATGGTGGTGTAAATTATATCATTATATTTGGAATATTCCAACTTTCGCAAGGTTTTCAACTATTATGGAGATCTCTCACCTTTCAACTTTTTTATTTTTATTTTTTGAGTGGAGATCTCTCACCTTTCAAAGTTTGGATTCATGACAACTTCTTGATCAGATCTATTCAAACATTTAAAATCAATTCAAATGCCCTTAGCCCAAATAACTATCAATGATGTAATGATCTTATCAAACAATGGTTTGGTAAAATTGTCTCTTCTTTATACATTTGTTAATCTTCTGTTTAATGGGATCACAATTTTATCTGTAGGGGTTTTCATAAGCCAAGAATGGCAAAATATATACATTTTCTGTCAGAAGTTCATTTAAGTGCCCAAAAAATTCTCACTTTATGCTTTTCTTTTTAGAGTATTAGAACACAAGAATATTAATCCATAAGTATCCTTTTAAGTAGTTTTTAGATACTCCTATTTTAGTATATTGGATCCTTTAACCTATTATGCTCAAACGAAAAGTTATCCAACTTAGTTTACTACTACTAGAAAGCGTAATTGACAACGTTTAAAACGCAGGGGTTGAAAATTCTCATGCAGAGAGTGGGGATTTTAGAGAAAAGTGTGAAAAGGGTGTTTATAGCAAACCAATAAATACATGACATGTATCTTGCATATGGACTTCAATTATTTAACCATGGTAAATTGTATGCATTCTCATCTAATTAAATTAATTAACCATGGTGAGTTAATATAGTTTGGTATAAATATCCGGTGAGAGTAACTATTTAGCGGAGAAAAGTCTAAGTAGGGCGGGACCAATGAAGGAGCACTCTTAATTTAAAAGCTAGTAGGTCGGGACAATGGAGAAAATTTGGGGTATATGCATTTACTAGAAACTAAGGTGGTTGGTGCTTTATTTAATTTTATTTATTTAATTATAATAGAGACTACACTTGTGCCACACTCGATGCATGTACATATTTTTAGAAGATCATTTGGTTTTTACTTTAGATGTAGATTCTAAAAATAGGATTTTTAAGAATATCATAAAATAGAATTTTGTATGTAACAAAGGGATTGAGTAGTTAAAAAGTTAGGATGCTTACTTTTATCAAGTTATCAAATTAATGCTTATCAATTAATCGCTCTGTTTAATTTATGTTGTTCACTTTTGACTTTGTATTTTCTTTAAGAAAAAAAATTAAATAAAGTATATATTTTACAATTTTACCTATAATATTTATAGCATTTCAAAAAGTCTTGGGAAATGATAAATATAAAATAAGAAAAAAGATTGTCTTTCTCTTAATTTGCTAAAATAAACAAGTAAAAGTGATAATATATTTTTGGTATAGTAGACAAGTAAAAGTGAATGGAGTAAGTTTCCTTTGAATGTGTAAAATAATTTTTACATAGACAATAGAGGGAATTTAAACTCAGAAGTTAATATGAAAGGCCAAAGATGGTTACTTGATTTGATGAAATAGAAGTGTTATTTACTCTGAGAAATTGGATTTTATTACATATGTTTATTTAAGATATACAAATGGATAAACATCCGGAGATTAAGGTGGAATAATATCTAACATGCCTTTAATGCGAAATATTAATTGGTGGTTAATAGTGACATGGAAATATAATAAATTCCTTGTAAGAAGTTGAACATAAAAATCTTATAATTAAGATCAAAGAAATAGAATGACTATTTTTCTTTCCTTGGAAGCATCTCCAACTCCAAGCAGGTACTTTCTCTTCACTATTTCTTCAACTGTGTTTCATACTCTGTTCCACTGTCTTCTTTTCTGATTTATTAGAAGGTCTAATCTTAATTGTTCATAGAGTAATCATGAATATAATTTAACTTCTTGTATTCACTTTTCTCTGATCCGTACAAAACTGACGGTTATTTATGTATAACTAGATAAAGGCTGTTTGGGAATTTTCGCTTTAACATATAAAAATTGAATCTTTCTTTGTGTTTTTTGGATTAGCGATCATGTATGGTAGTTTTGAGGTGTAAAGAGATGATATGATTTTGTGAAGATTATATGAAGTTAGTTGATTATAGGTGTATTCTTTAAGATTTAAGATTTGATCTGACATGTTTATTAGACACTTTCAAGGGGTAAAGAAATGGAGCAGATCAAAGTTTGTTATGCGTTGACTGGGTAATTAAGCAGTATGAAGTTCATATGGCTTGTCGTTTACCTTGACCACAGTGGTGGAGCCACCTTAGGCTAAGGGGTATCAGTTATCAGAAAATTATACTGTGTAGCTAGGTTAAAATTTTATTTTTATGTATATATATTATATGTTGAATCCCCTTAATTTATTAGTGTGTTTAGTAAATTCATGGCTTTGCCACTCCTTGACCATTATCTTATTTGAATACTTTAGCTGGCTAAATTCGATATCTGGGTATAATATTTTCCTCTCTGTGTTTTTCCTGTCAGTTTTTATATCATGGTCCTCATAGAGGCTTGACCAAAGGAATGTTTCACTATCACAAAGTGATTTCTGAATGTTTTTTTAGATGTGCTTCACTTTGTAGAAGGATTAGGAGAATTCTTTCCCTCATCTGGTGGTATGTTGAATTGAATTTTTGTCTAACTAAACTTACCTTGGCAGTACGATTAGACAAATGAAGCATTAGTGCTTTACACATGAGATTCTTTTCTAGCAATGGTGTTTTGGGAAGTAAACATCCAATTTTTTGTATAGTTTGTACATAAATCATTTGAATATCTCTGCTTAGAAAGAGTAGTTTCTGCAGTTGGAAAAAGCCAAAAAGTTTCAATTGATAAGTGAAGCGTCTTCTGGTTCTCAATTCAGATTTTTGTTTTCTAACCAAACTATATCCCATGACCTATAAATGCTCAGGTTTTTGATATCTATCCATTTCTTTGCTTTCATAATTATGTTCTTCTATTGCTTATTCAGGGTCACAAGGAAGGGATGATAAGGTAAAAGCTGCTATATTTGGGCGATATGAGGATGAACTGCCAACTGTTCCTTCTCTAGAGATTAAAAGATAGCTGCAAACATTCTCTCTATTCCTGATGTCTTCTACAAAATTAGGGTCTGGCCACAATTCTAGAAATGCAAAAAAAGAGTCACACGATGTTTCAAGCTGCATGGATTCTGAACTTCATGAGTGTGAGAAGTATAATTCACATGAATTTATAAGCGTGTTAGAGTCGGAGCTTAAAGTGTTGAGCTCAGAGAGTGTTGATATTCTAAAATTATGCGGAGAAAACCAATTGATCGAGGAGTTCTATTCTCAAACATATTCTGATGATGCTGCAAAGCTAGATCAACAGCTCAAAGGCTACAATTCTTCTTCATATAGTTACAAAGATAGACCATTAGACATGTTCCAAAGTGTAGTTGGTGATGGTTCGCAGAAAACGCCTGTTAAAACAGATACCGTAGGATTTATGGACTTCAATTATTACAACCGCTGCTTTGATCCTGGACACACTGAGAAGGCCTGTTCTGAACTGGATTCTCAATGGACCGGAATTGAGAAGGCTGAACCATGGTGGCGCGCAGCTGATAAGGAGTTAGCTGCCTCAGGTTCTCTCGAGTCAGCTGGGTGTATTGGGAATTCTGTTCTTTCATGGCCTCAATTTTTGGAAGGTGAGTCATATAATTGTTCTCAGTGTTGTGGCCAGGTTAGTGTGACAGAGAAGGAATTTCTGGATGCTCGTGACTGTTATTCGGGACAACGTCCTTCACAAAGCCAATACAAGAGGTTGTGTGTTGGCAAAGGGTGCTCAACACATGGTTCAAGACAGACAGAAAGGTATTTATCCAACTATAGCTAGCTACTATCTTTCTTCCCCATAGTGTTCTTTCTAACATATGTATACCTTATCCCATTTTGTATGACTTGGGAAGACTTCCACAGAGGTTGAAGAAAAAATGTTAGGAGGAGTTTTTATGTGTGAGTTGTGATGGTTGTGAAAAGTGTTAAGGTGTCACATCAAATTCAAAATAATATGAAAAAGTATTATTAGATATTAATTAGACCTTTTGGAATTGGTGGTCTTTATTATTTAAGCAAAGAGATCGTAGTTTTAGGACGGATCAACATAGAAATGGATCAAACAAACTACGATGGAGGGGGTATATGGTCGAGTAAATTTAATGCATCAAATTTGTAACAAGATGTGGCACGCAAAAAAGGAAGTGGAAGAAAGCAAGTTTAATTCCGATGTATGGAAGAGAGGGAAGGAAAAATATTTTCCTCCTTTCTGTTTTAACCTAGAATAAACCTGAAATATGGATATTCAAAGTTAAAGGATGTAATGTACTAAATTAGAGTCAAAATTTGGATAATTTAATATTTTAGATTTCAAAACATGAAACTCAACTTATTGAAATTTCATCGACATAAGTGCAGGTGAAGTCGAATCCCTAACTCTTTTCCTCTTAGGAGTCTTCTCTCAGTTCTGTTAATTTAGGTCTATCTTTGCTAGTTTTCTCGAAATATCAACGACTGTATTCATCGCCTTCTACCTGTATATTAGTGCTCTTGTATCATTCTGTTCTCATCAAGTTTTATCTTAGAGAAGACCTAATAAGAAGTTACTGATTCTCTTTTCTTTCGTCTTGTCTGTACAAATGGGACAAGGAAAAGGAAAAAAAATTAGAGTTGGCTATCCTTTCCATTCTTTTCTGCACTTTCCACCCACTTTGATATGCTGGTTTGGGCTTGGCAGGTGTTGTGCAATGATGAATCCTGGAGAGTTTATGACAGATCTCTCTTATATTTCCTTTCAAGAACCTAGATCTAGTATTGCAGAATCTCTTCGTTTCGAGTTAATGGATAAAGGATGTCCTTGGGTTTTTGAAATTCTTCGTATGTTCTGAGTTTTCTGCAATATCGTGGAACTCCATAAACAATTTCTTAGCATTCTATCATATCTATGAAGTCTCTCCTTGACATATTATTTCACAAAACTCAAGTGTTCTAGTTAAAGTTATAACACCAACCCTACATTTTGAATGTTTGAAACATCATGTTCATATGTATGCCTGAACCGACAATATTGTTAGTAAATGCTAAGAAAATTGTTATTCACCTCGCTTCCTTCTCATTCTCATTTTCCAATTATTAACAACACTAATGTGTATCATTTTAATTCCAGCAGTGATGACAATTTAAGTACTGCCAAAGTCCCCTCGGACGAAACTCAACCAAGATCAAGCGATCTCAACAAAGCTCAGCTGTTAGAAGCACTATGCCATTCTCAAACCCGTGCAAGAGAGGCTGAACAATTGGCACAGCAAGCCTACAACGAGAAGGAACACGTGATCAAGCTATTCTTCAGACAGGCTTCTCACCTCTTTGCTTACAGGCAGTGGCTTCAAATTTTGCAGCTTGAAGCTCTATGTCTCCAGCTTCGGAACAAAGACGAGCAAAATTCCACCAACTTTTCGCCTTTCTTACCCTTGGTCCCAATCAAAGGTAGGAAACTGAAGAAGTGTAGATGTAAGCCTATCAAGAGGAAGCCAGCAAAGGATAAATGCAAGATAAACATGTCTGCTGTAGCTTTTGCCTTGGGTTTGAGTCTTGCAGGTGCAGGTTTGCTACTTGGTTGGACCATGGGATGGTTATTTCCTGCTCTCTAAACCATCTTACAATATAACATTCATCACAACAATCACTCTGTTCCACGGGTTCACTAAATTCATATATGTATATTCCATGTCTTTTCATATCAAATTACGTCGGAGATATATTATTCTAGTAGGTAGCATTGTACATTATATATGCAAGTATACAACAACTAAGCCTCAATCCCTAAGGCATTTTGTAAATATAGTTGTGCTAGTTTCTTGTATACATGTTCTGTGTGTTTCATATCAGAATCTTTGGAGGTTATTCTAGTGGGTAGGATTCTGCAGTTTTGTGTAAATATATTTGGGCTTAGCTTTGGAGGGGAGCCTTAGAGTAATCGTAAAAGTTGCCGCCTTGTGATTAGGAGGTTACGGGTTCAAGTTGTGAAAATAACCTCTTGCATAAGGTAAGACTCCCTACATAAGATAATAAGATCCAATGTGATCTAGTCCTTTGACCCCGCACGTAGCATGAGCTTATTGCACTAGGTTGCCCTTTATATTTGGGCTAGCTTTAAATAGTACTCCCTCCGTTCACTTTTATTGGCATGTCTAAAAATAGATGTTCATTTTTACTTGTCACTTTACGCATATCAAGAGAAGACAATTTTTTTCCTGTTATATCCACAGTATTTATTACTCATTTAAAATTATTTTCTCAAATCTATATCTATATCTATACTATATTAAAAGCACGAAGGCTCTTAGCGAAATATCGTTCGCCTTTTTTACCCTTTAAAAATAGATTTCACATTGGATAAAATAGTCATTTAATTAATTTTCTAATATTTAGAACTCTAAAATTGGCTAAATTTTTTATTATTAAACCTTTCCTTATTTGTGATACGTAGTAGCCCTAAATTTTAGGACTTTAATATTAATTAGTATTTTACCATACATATATTTTTTCCTTGTTTAAACTCCATATATAACGTAACTATAATTATTTTCATATTACTTTTAGTGGATATAGATTCTATAGAAAAAAAAAGTAAACTAACGTGTGTTTTAATGAAATTAAAGTAATTAATAGATCATGCAACGTTATGCCTAATATTTAAAAGACCTTTAGGATTTGGGAGAAATTCAAAAATAGTTAGATTTACAACTGGTCGTTCAAAGCGCAGTTTCAAAAGTAATCGAAATTTAGCCAATTTTCATGTAAAGATAAATCTGAGCGAAAATACTGTTCAAAACCCGGAAAATACGCCAGTATATTATACTGGAGTTCCAGCATAAGTATGTTTGAACTCCAGCATATTATACTGGAGTTCCAGAATAAGTATGCTGGAGCTCCAGCATAAGTACACTAGAACTCCAACATAATATATTGGAGTTCCAACAAGTATAATTGTCCAGTATAATATACTGGAGTTTGGAGCACCGGTGCTCTAGTCTCTAGTATATTATACTGGAGTCAGCAAAGTATATCGGTCCAGCATAATATGCTGGAGTTCATACACAAGTGCACCGAACTCCAGTATATTATGCTGGATCGGTCTCTGTTGCAGTAAAATAGTGGCTATTTTTCATTGACTTCGTAAACGCTTGCTATTTTTGAATAACCAGTCCGAAAATTGGCTACACCGTGCTATTTTTACTTAGGATTTTAAATAAGTAATATAACTTTCCCACGTTTAGTTTTCGTATAAGTTGTAAAAATATAACAACATTTTGAAATAATACCAAGAAAGCTTTATCATGAATAAAATGTGCAAATATACATGTAAAATAAAAGGTTAATACTTTAAAAGATATCACTTTCTTGCACCTAATTATTTTTGTTAAATCTTTATCTTGGACTTGAAAGCCAATTAATATTTTAATTATCTTACATAAATTTATTTTATTTGAATAATGTAGCATAGTTATAATTCCTTTCATGCTATTATATGTGAACTATAATAGTTCATATTATATTTGAACTACTTTTCTCTCCAAACAATATTTTTCTATTTAGTAATTTTTTTGTATAATATCTTTAAAAATTATGCTTAATAATTAAATTAAAATACTAAGATACTATTTAAAAATATAAAAAGAGAGAGGGAGAGACTAGAAAAGTATTTGGTAACACTAATAATTCTGCAAACACAAATATCGAAAAGTAAACTATCACATCGATTTTTTATCCCTTAATACAGAATTTATAGTAAGTAAAATTATAATTATAGTTAAATATTTAAAATTTGGGTGAGCTAATATTAAGAATTTGAATCAATAAAAATAAATTATTTTCGTTAATGTTGAGAGCAAATAATTTGAATTAACTAATTAACAAAATAATTCTATCCAATTCCTTTCTAAATTCATCATATTCGTTAAAAAATAATTCGAGTGAAAAAACTCTTAGGATATATAAACCTGGTTCAATAAAAAGAGCATTCGTGGTAAAAGCAATCAGAAAATAAAATATAATCGGTGATGATATAGTATTAAGAGTTAATTAAAATAATTCAAACTTGAAGCAATAAGGATGAAATAATAGAAGATAATTTATTTGAGTTGTCATTAATTTTTTTTCCTCTCATTTTGCATTTGTTACAACAAATAACAGTTCCCTATATTTTTTGAATTGTTGTTAGAGGTTTTCTTTTCTTTTTTGTGATCTTGACCGTTAACACTCACTAGATTTCTCTTCAATCATGATAAATATGAGAATTCTTTTTTTTTTTATTATATGTTTTTATCGTGTTTGTATATTTTGGATATATTGAATACAATTACTATGTTAATGTAATAATATTAATTTATTGATGAGCGCGAGGTACACGTGCAATGCACGTACAAAGAAACTAGTCCAATAAAATATGCATCAATTAATATGGATATCATGGTAAATTATGTACTTCATTTATTATTTCTTAAGAGGCGTGAAAAGTCAAAACGTGCCAAGTAAAAGTGAACGGAAAGGAATATCTTTGAAAGTTTGTGAAGTCATCCTACGTATATATTCATTTTCTAGTCCCATAAGTTGTTTTATTCAATGTGTATGTGTTGAAATTGGTAACTTCATGCCTTTTGTTATTACTAAGGCAGCTTCTTCTTTTTTGGCTTATAAATGGAAGAGGAAACTGAGTGGATAAAGGTTCTTATTTTGTCTAGATGCAATCGTGTGTGTGCTGAATCAGCTCTATAAACATCAAATTTCCTCTCAGCCACTAACTTATCTGTTGTGTTGGAAAAAATATGTCCTTTAAACTTAAATATCTAAGAAATTCCTTTATCCTTCAAAAAATGTGAAAAACGTTAAATTTGTGCTGCAACTTGAACGCGAGGAAAAAAGGGTGAAAAATTCAATTGTTAAAGAAGGGGCTGTTAAGAATTGCAACGTGCATTCTCAAGTATTTAATTAAAAAGAAAAAGATTGTCAAAGATTAAAAGGAAATGAAGGTCACCAAAATATAAGTACAGCTCAACTACTCCTTCAAAAATGCCACAAAAAGAAAAAGGAAAAGGAGAAGAAAAGAAAAAAGATAAATCACTAACCATCTAGAAAGTCTATAAAATATTTATTTACATTTTGTGTTTTCGTTAAAGCAAATTAACTTATTATGACTTAAGTGACAAATAAGATGAAAATATACACTTATTAATCGTAATTAAATGATATAAACTTATGTGCTAACATATACGATATGCTTATTTGTTTGATATAAATATTAGGCGCAGAAGAATTATTTTTCGTATTATTTATTTAATTTTGCTTAATGTTATTGGGTTACTCTGCCTCAAAATCAAGACCATTTCTTCCAGAATTTCATACTATGCTTCGCCAAAGCGATTTCTTTGACTTTTGACTTTTTCTAACGCAAGCCGAGCTACTCAAAGCCGACCGTCCATGCTGCTTTTTGATCCACCGCTTCTTATCTGCCACGTATTCACTCGGCCCCACTTAACCTCCAAATAATTATAAGCAAAAATGAAACAAAAAAAAAAAAAAA